TTAAAGACTCAAAATGAAATATGCAATGTAGGTCTCATTTGTTAAATAGGTCATTTTCCACTTCCTTCATTGAAACAAAGTATCTGTAGGTAGACTGACTTTCTCAGGGAGGTAGGAGGTGGAAGGCTCAATTCTGATAAAACATGGAGAACAGTCTCCAAAAGCAAGCTCTCAAATAACCGTGAGGAAAACCAGCACCACCCATCACTGAAGGAGAGCTGGCTCAGGTGCACCAGACTCCATGTCATGGGAACAGTCTTTCTTTGAAAATGACAGACACCAGAGTATAAGAAGTTGGACAAATGAGCCCAGTAGTTTTCAAACACTTTTGTAGAGGTGCAGCTCTTCTTCCTCTCCTCTTTCCTCCCCTGAACAAACTATCACAGGAAAAACTTTGAAATACTGGGCAGGTGGAATTTTAGCCGACAGTAGCATGTCCTCGCCTTCTCCACTCTCTAGGATTGTCAAGAGGATCCTAGGAATACAACGGGAAAACTGGAAAGGAGGAAGTGAAACTGTCATTATTTGCAGATGACATGATATATTATAATAGAAAAGACTTCATCAAAAATCTCCTAGACTTAATAAATGAATTTGGCAAAGTAGCAGGATACAAAATTAATGTCAAGAAATCAACGGCATTCTTATACACCAATGATGAACTCACAGAAAGAGAAACTAAAAAACAATCCCATTTACCATGATGGCAAAAAATTTAAGATACCTAGGAATAAACGTAACCAAAGAAATAAAGAACCTATTTGCAGAAAACTACAGGACATTGAAAAAAGAAATAGAGGAAGATATAAAAAAGTGGAAACACATACCTTGTTCATGGATTGGAAGAATTAACATCATTAAATGTCCATATTACACAAAGCAATCTATAGATTCAATGCAATCCCCATCAAAATACCAATGACATATTTCAAAGAACTAGAAAAAATACTTCAAAAATTCATATGGAACCAAAAAAGACCCTGAATAGTCATAGCAATCTTGAAAAAGAAGGACAAAGTAGGTGGTATCACAATATCAGATATCAGGTTATACTACAAAGCTACGATAATCAAAACAGCCTGGTTCTGGCACAAGAACAGGCATATAGACTAGTAGAACAGAACAGAGAACCCAGAAATGGACCCAAGACATTATGCTCAATTAATATTTGACAAAGGTGGCAAGAGCATACAGTGGAGTAAAGACAGCCTCTTTAATAAATAGTGTTGGGAAAATTGGACAGCTACATGCAAAAAAATGAAACTAGACCATCAACTTACACCATATACAAACATAAACTCAAAACAGATAAAAGACTTAAATGTGACCCATAAATCCTAGAAGAAAATGTAGGCAACAAAATTTCAGACATCATACGCAGCAGCAGAATTTTCACTGATACATCACCTAAGGCAACAGAAACAAAGGAGAAAATGAACACATGGGACTACATCAAACTCAAAAGCTTCTGCACAGCGAAAGATACAATCATCAAAACGGAAAGGCTACCCACTGTATGGGAGAGCATAATTGCCAATTATATATCAGATAAGGGGTTAATTTCCAATATATATAGAGTGCTCATACAACTCTGCAAAAGGAAGACAAAGAACTCAATTAAAAAATGGGCAGAGGAGCTGAATAGACACCTCTCCAAACAGGACATACAAATGGTCAAGAGATATATGAAGAAATGCTCAACATCACTAATCATCAGAGAAATGCAAATTAAAACAACAATGAGGTATCACCTCACACCTGTCAGAATGGCCGCCATAAACAAATCATCAAACAACAAATGTTGGCGAGAGTGTAGAGAAAAGGGGACTCTAGTGCACTGCTGGTGGGAATGCAGACTGGTGCAGTCACTATGGAAAACAATATGGTGTTACCTCAAAAAATTAAAAATTGAATTGCCATTTGACCCAGTGATACCACTTCTAGGAATATACCCTAAGAAGCCTGAAACACCAATCAGGAAGAATATATGTACCCCCATGTTCATAGCAGCACTATTTACAATAGCGAAGATCTGGAAACAGCCCAAGTGTCCATCAGTGGACGAATGGATAAAAATGCAGTGGTACATATAGCAATGGAGTACTATGCAGCGGTAAGAAAGAAAGATCTCTTATCCTTTGAGATGACATGGAGGGACCTGGAAAGTATTATCCTAAGTGAAACAAGCCAAGCAGAAAAAGACAAATACCACATGATCTCAATTATTTGTGGAATATAAACAACATAACAGTCTGAGGAATAGGATAGACCCAGAGATGTGGAAGTAGGGTACAGACTGACAACCCTCAGAAGAGGGTGTGGTGGGGGGAGGGAAGAGATAAACCACAGAACTTATATGCATGTATGCATAACTAATGGACATGGACAACAAAGCTGGGGATGGGTGGGGGGATGGGGAGGAGGGTGTCAATGGAGTAGAAAAGGAGAAACATCTGTAACAAAAATTAAAAAATAAAAGAAAAAAGAAAAAACTGGCATCTAATTCAAAGAACTTATTTTCCTGAAGAGAAGGAGGAGGGACTCAGAGCCCCAGACTAGTGAAGTGACTGGACCAAGGTGAGAAGTTTGCAGCATATCTAACGAAGCCAGGTCTCCTGGTGACCAGTTCGGTGATTTTTCCATCACAGCACTGACAGCCATTGGGCAATCTGGGTGCCCATTTGACCTCTTAGACCTTTGCACAATGACTGAATGAATCTTTGGAAACTTTAAAAGGTCTATTCTTCCTTTTAAATGGTACTAACTTCAAATGTGCATTCAGTGCAAACATAGTTTGATTTGGATGCCATTCAATGACAAAATAAATAAATAAAGAAAAGCCATGTTAGTGGTGACAAAGCACATGATTTATTGTGATCTGGGCTGCTTTATGGAAATGGTTTCTTACATCTGAGGTACAGGTTAAAACTAAAACAAACAACCCTACATCAGAGGTAACAAAGTCATCAGTCATGGCTCCTACTTTGAATAAATGCAATTTGACTTTGCCCATGAGGACGGCACTCTGCAGCAAGCTGATCTGGGATTCGTCCATGTTAACTACATTCAGTTTTGTGGTACACTGTGCAGGTTGCTAGGTGATTTGACAGAAGGAAACAGAGGAGTGATTTATGAGCCTGGTAACTCTTAAGTGACTGCAATATATACATGCACAGAATGTAAGCCACCCTGTCACAGCTGCTGTTGGCTTCATGAAAAGTGACCTGAAGTAAATTTATTATTTTTAAGAAAGCAAAGACCCTATATGCTCTTGCAAACATTTTCTTTATCATGAGCTGTCCTGTTCATTTGACGAGACGTGCAGTGTCCCACGGTTTCTAGTATAAAACTCCATTTTCAAGAGTGTGTAACTTGTCTGTTTAAATTCTCCCTGGCCCAGAGCCTGGAATGCAAATTCTGTTTCTGAGAATCACTTTGTTTTCAACAACATTCAAAAGAGCAGGGGTTAGGGGGGCTGAGGGTATGTGTGTGTGAGTTTGTTTTCACAATCATAGAAATCCTCTGTATTCCAAAATGACTTACAAATTTTATCTAATCAGACAAACTGAAGCTTTTTTTCCCAGATTGCTGTATGGCATTAAAAAAAAAAAAAAAAAAAAAGAGTACAGTCTAAAAATTGCCACAAATGGAACGACCTGGAATTTCCAAATACAGGATGCAGAAGATTATTTGGGGTGTTTAATAGAAGGGGGCATGACTGACAAGCACTTGATCGGTGGTTTGATTCCTAAAATAACTGAGAAGAGTGGAGGTTTCTGGCAGGTGCCTCGAAAGGAAGAGGTAATCAACTGAAACACGTCATATGCGTTTACAAGTTTCTTCTGGAGAACAAAGGTTTCCTTTGACAGTATACGCTCTCTTTGAATCCATGTCATGAAGCCCACAGGAGCTTTGAAGTCCATATAAATGCTTAAGGGACAGTCCTACTTAGTCTCATCAGCTACTACATGAGCAACAGGAAAAATCCAGCTTACGTGCTGTAGCAGCTGGGCCCTCTGGGTTCTTTTCTTCCCTATTTATTCTAATAAACTCTAGGTGCTTTCAAGTCATCAGACAGCAGAGGGAAAAACCTGAAAAGTGAGACCTTCTTCCCTAATTAAAAAGACTAGCACCCTGAAACTTTTGAGACTCATTTTATTCCTGTATTTTCTAAAACGATGATGTAACAGGAGTGGGACTTTTTATTTGACTATTAAAAGATAAAATACTTTAATTAGAATTTCTCAAGTCACTCATTTGCGTATTATTTGCACAGTAAGATTAACGCTGTGTTATCCTTGGGCAATGTGACCTTGCCGTAGGGACGACAGTGGTTACTCCAGTTTCTTCCACATACTTCTCTTCTTCTAATTCTGCTGTGCGTTTTCCCCTTCTTGCTTTCTTCAGAATGTGGCAAACTTTAATTTAGGGCAATTATATAAACCAACTGAACAGTTTGAAGAAATAAATCAGCAGGCATTAAAGGTTAATTGTGTGTGTGTGTGGGGGGGGTTAAATACACACAATCACACCCACACCCACACACACATAAAACGTAAATCTCTAGACCACAAGATAGTTTGGATTTTGCCTGTATTTTATTGTTTTCATATATCAAAATTCTGCCTAACACATATATATGTATGCATGACATGTATGATTATGTGTGCACATCATGTACCTCTGTACATAACCGAGAAAATTTCTTTGTACATGTCAGTAAAGTTTAAAGATCACAGTTCAGTTATCACTTAGTAGTACTGCAAATCACAGGAAATGTTACCCGACAAAACAACAGAGTATTCTTTGCGTCCCTCAGTGCAGAAAGTCCTAGTTGAATCTCGGGTTTTTTGTTTTCTGCACTGACAGCACGCACGAGAATAAGAAATCCTACAGCTGCCTGCTTGTGGAGACCCTACAGAGAGTTTTCTTCTTTCTCAAGAACGGTCTCTAGTACCGGCCGTCAATCCTACTGAGCACGCACACTGCAGACTACTTACTGAACACCTTGACTATCGTGGGCGCCTCGTACACGTCGTCCTCGGTCACCAGCATGCACACAAATCTCTTTTCATCGCTGATCCTCGCATTGCTGATGGACAACGTGTAGTTTTCCGAGAGGCTCAGTCTGTCTTTGTATTCTGGTACGTCGTCGTACTGCACGCTCTTCTTCGTGGAAGACCTGAAGGCAATAAATACTGGGGAGCCGTCGGGTTTTTCCTAAAGATTAAAATAACAATGCATTTTACTTTTTAAATTTATCTTCATTGTTGAAAGTATTACAATACATTTTAAAAACAAGCATATTTGGATGTTTCAGGATCACATCCAGGGTAATAAAATTTCCTTGGCTCTAAAATTCCACCAATATTTATAGTTGTGTCCAAGAAGAATAATTTTGGATACAAGCCTCCCATAAATCTTTGGCTACCGAGAATTTCTCTTCATGAGAGAAACTGTAAGTTATTTTACAGGTATCAGCTTAAATATCTGGGCAAAGCTCTAGGAATCTGAGCTTTTCCTGCATCTGAAGGGCAGAATTAGTGACTGTTTTAAAACTGACAAGAGCTGGCCCCGTGTCTCATATAAAAGAAAAAAATAGTTGTAAACAAACATACAGATGCACAAAACGACATTCAGCTAACCATCGCACCTAGCATACACCTACCTGACCTGCAAACATGCATTTAGCAATCATGGGCAATCTCTTCTGCACAGTCCTTACTTCAATCCACATACTTTAAATGTCCATACTTTTCAGTTTCAGCCAAAACCCACACAGCTGACCTTTACATACAGCATACTTTAATGACTCTTCACGGAGGAGCAGTATTTGCCCTTGTGAAACAATCACGTCCATTTAGCAATAGAATCAGATTAATCACTGAAATCCACAGTGTTGCTACCTGAGTCATAAAACTTAGCTCCAAGGGCTTTCATATAAAAGCTTATTATCAAAATAAAATATAATCTAGGCATACACAGCTACGCCAAAAGCACTGAGACATATAATTCATTTCTTCCTCTGCTCCCACAAGAATTCTCTTACCTACTAAGGAATTTAATCAAAAGTAGGGGGAATCTCTCTTCTACTTACCTCACAAGACCTTTGAGAAAATAAGATATGATAAAACATTTTAAAGTGCATGGCAAATTTCAAGGCGTTCCATTTTAAAAAGTTAGTAATACTTATTACTGTTCTGGACTAAATATTTATGTGCTCCCCAAATCCATGTCAAAGTCCTAGCCCCCAGTGAGTTAGTCTTTGGAGGTGGAGCCTTGGAGGGGTGGTTAGGGTTAGACCAGGTCCTGGCAATGGTGCCCTCACCATGGGATGAATACCCCGTAAGAAGGGTGAGAGACGCGCTGCCGTCTGTCTCTCCATGAGAGCACAGAGACGAGGTTATACGAGCACATAGCAAAATATCAGCTTGTGGGAGACTATTTGCATGGCATCCATTTTGCTAAAATCTGCTCTGCCATCTCCTGCCCCAAGGCAGGATACCTCTGTATACAATGTTTCTGCATTCCTTTAAGTAACCATTTACTCCGGGATATTTACTTGAAATTGCTTTGGGGTGGTTACCACAAACTTATCGCTTGGCAACAAATGTTCTTGTTTTTCTGCTTCTTGCCCTATATATTGTGTGGATCTCCCCAGAATAAACGAGACTTGATCAGAGCCCTGTCTTGTCTTCATTTCTCCTGTCTCTTGTCCCTCCTCATCCTCACTCCCCCTCTAGAGTCCTCGTTGCTCGACCTGCCGGACGGGTCATCAGCTGTCTATAAATCAGAAGGAGGACCCCCACCAAGGGTCGCATGCGCCAGCCAGCACCTTGATCTTGGACTTCTCAGCCTCCAGAATGGTCAGAGATAAATATCTGTTGCTCAAGTCCATGTCTCTGGTATTTTGTTATAGGGGCCCACCCTAATGCAATTAGGAAGCTAATCTTTGAGTTCAAATGTTTTAGTTGGTTGAATATATGAATACATCAATAATATTCTCCTTAAATCTTAAATTTGTCACAGGTTTACAATGCAAAGCCTTGCCCTAAATCATTTCTCTTTGAGAGAAATATGTTAGACCAGTTCCTTAAATTTGTTTGTTCATTCACTTATGCAATAGATAATAGTTATTAAGTTGTGAGTACTTAACTATATACCAGGTACATCCTTAGAGCTTTCCATGCACTAATTGATTTAATACTCAGAAACCCTCTAAGCTAGAGTTATGATAGTAGTGCCAGACTAGACCAAGGAGACAGAGATTGGTTAAACAACTTTTCCCAAAGCCCAGCTGGGGCATCTCAGCAAAGCAAGACTGGAGCACGGTGGTCGGGCCCCATTCTGACTACCTGGTTCCACTCTCTATGACCATTAGATGCCTCGTCCACACCAGGCAGTGAGGCAGATGGTGGTGAAGCGGTGGTGGGAGTGGGGTGCAAAGGGGTGCACAGGGAACTAGAGTCCTCATTCATTGGGAGATTACCAGGCAGTAGGGGAGGAGATAATTCATCCTTCCACCATGCTTGCCCCCTTTCACCCTTTCCAAACCTGCCACTTGTTCTTCAGGTTACATTAAGTTAGAGCTCATAGACCATGTCTGCAAATCAACAGTTTTTAGAGCACGTGGTACATCAAATGCATCTCATCAGTTTATTGCTGAAGCTTTTTACCAAATTAAGCATCTGAAAATTGCCATTATTGTTTGTGTCCTCTTGTGCCAGTTCGGTTTAGGTGAAAATGATTCCCTGGGTTATCCTCAGAAAAGTTTGTGATCACAGTAACTTTCATGATCTGGGTTCTGTTTATTTTGGCCATAAATGGACTCAACAGGTGAGTTATGAGGTAATCTCCCGACCACAGGAATTCTAGGGGTGCAAATAGACATTGTCCTCATAGGCCTTAACTTCCTATGTCCACCTTTGCAGGAAAGCAGAAGTGGTCCGACGTGAGCTGGACAGCAGGAGGCGAGCACAGGGAACGCCGTGTCGCCTCCCTCCCGGTTCTGTCGCGCGCCCCTCACATAGTGGGCTGTGCACTCTGCAGCCCCATCGTCACGGCGGCTCACACTTTTCATGCAACTGTCATGTGAGAAGCACTGTGCAGGTATTCTGATATGAGTAACTTCATGTAACCCTCACTACACTATAGGGAAGGTTATTCTTATGTTGTTTTATTGATGAGAAAATGGGGATTCAGTCACTGTCCAGAATCCCACAGTGAGTTTGTGGTAGAACATGCTGGCCTGATTTCAGAACCCATATATATTTTTTACGTATCTCTCTATATATTTTTTTTATTGATTTTTTTTTAAGAGATAGAGGAAGGGAGAAGGAGAAAGAAACATCAATCAGCTGCCTCCTGCACACCCCCTACTGGGGATCAAGCCCACAACCCGGGCATGTGTCCTGACCAGGAATCGAACTGGAACCTCTCAGTCCATGGGACGACACCCAATCCACTGAGCCTCACTGGCCAGGCTCAGAAGCCATATTTTTAATGAATATGTTATACCAGCCTCTGGGTGCAACCTTAAGCACACTGCTTACATTTCCCAAAGCGTGTTCTGTAGAATGTATGTTATGCAGACATGTGAGGGGGAAACGTATGGTGAAATAAATCTAGAAAATGAATCAGACTCAGACAACTCACAATGCAGGTTAATATATAAAAGGCTCTGAGAAATGTTGCAATAGAGAAACTTCAAAAATTATTTGACCATCAAATCCTTTTCCTATTCAAATATCTGGTAATGTTTCAAGGAGCTGGGGGACATTTGCCATTATGTTCAAGGAAACATGTCCATTTTAAGCTTGCAAACTACCATGGGTTCCATGTGATCCAGCATTGGGAAATCATGCCTCAATAGGACACCTTTTGTTGGTTTTGGTCATTAAATTGAAACATTCATCAGTTGATGTTACCTAGCTACTCCACATCCACCTACCAGGGTATCTACTCTCCATTTCCAGACCCACCTGTACCTTGATACTTGAGAAGATATGATTTTGCTATCTGCAAGAAATGGATACAATCAACAATGTTAAATGTAAAAAGGGCCTACCATATCCATACAGTTTTAAGATGAAATAACCAGAAATGAGCTTTTAATATGATGGTTGATTATCAATGACTCTTTGGGTATGCTGTCTCCTGGTGTCCCTGGCCTCCCAGTAGCCACTCTAAGCAGAACAGGAGCATGTAGCTGCTGTCTTCACTGAGCTCTGGTCTATACTCCACTCTCTGTACTCTGGAACTCTGCCTTTTCTTCTGCCTCTAACACTCGCGGTTGAATTTTTCAGACTAATGTGATAGAAGAATTAGGTGTTTATTGGCTTTATTTTAAATTAGCATTGGTTATGTAAGGGTTAGGAATTATTCTTTTGACACATTCAACACATGAATTCTACTTTCCTACATCTGCACCACAGTCCAATGTTGCCAATATGTTCATTTGAAATTCACATGCACTCACAGAAGGAATTTCATTTAAAAAATGAGAGGCGATTGACTAAATCCAAGGGAGGTTGCACTTACATATTTCCATTTGCCAAACATGAGATTCTGAGGTACATCGAGTCGGCAAGGCATGATTATGGTATCTCCATATGCTGAACTTACAGTATACAATCCAAGGCCTTAGGAAAAAAAGGAAAAAAGACAGATTGTAAGTGTTTTCTTGGAATAACAAAGTATAGTAGTACCCCTTATCCATAGGGGATACATTCCAAGATGGCCATCAGATGCCTGAAACCACAGGTAGTACCAAACCCTAAACAGATGATGTTTCTTCCCTACATACACAGGGTGGAGCACAAATAGGTTTACGGTTATTTGTATGGAAAAAATATACAATAATTAATAAATAATAATACAAGAATAAACTGTGTTTCATGTATTCACAACTGCAAACCTATTTTTGCCCCAGCCTGTACATGCCTATAATAGAGTTTAATTTCTAAATTAAGCATAATAAGAGATTAACAGCAATAACCAACAATACAGTAGAACAGGGCAAGACAGCATGAAATTGCATCATATTGCTCAGAATGGTGCTCGCTTAAACTCACGAATTGTTTACTTCTGGAATTTTCACTTTAATCGTTTCTGACCTCGGTTGTCTTCAGGTAACTGAAACCGAAGCCTTGAATTAGGGGGGTGGGGGAGACTACTATAAATAACTTCAGTTAAGATACATATCTTAATGAAGGTTATTTATTTTAATTTGATCTTTAATGACATACTAAAAGTGTGAAGCTAGAACATATTACTATCTAAATATCATCAGTTCTTATTTAGCTACTAAGCCTTTGAATATCACAGTATTCAAATTTACAGACCTCCCTCCCCCCATTTTATCAGGAAATACATGAGAGTATATTCCAGAGGAACACAGTCAAATGTGAATGCGTGTTTTCTCTGCATTTCATGGGAAAAACATTCACTATATTTCACAGAAGTGTGGAAGCAGACAAAGATAGCATGTGTTATATTGTCAAAACTAACTTTAAATATAATTGTATTTTTCACTTGAAAATATCATATTTTTCTTCTGGAAAATATTTTAAAGTATTAAAAACTAAGAACTAAATTTTAGTTATAAATGAGAAAGTAAACATAAAATGGCTTATTTTTTAGTAGTAATGTGAAAATACTACTATATATATATATGTTTTATTGTTGAAAGTATTACAGATGTCCCCCTTTCTTATTTTAAATGTACATTAACTATTATCAAAAAAAGAATTTGTTGTATGAACATTCTTCATAAAGTACTTATAAAGTGTATACAATCTAACTTAAAACATAATTTGCAACTAAGGCACTGAAAACTCCTTAGTCTGATCTAATTCTTTATTGAGAAAAAAGATGTAAATGATAACAAATTAAATTGTAAAATCAACCTAACAATTTTTGCATATGTATGTAGGAGACTTCAAATTCATATATATTCATGAAGTTTTAAAAAATTCAGACATTTAACTTGTCAGTAGTACTTAGGGAACACCTCAGATTTTTTTTTTTTACCTCATATTGTTTACAGTAATGTCTAAGATGAATACTTTTATAATTAAGATGCCATAATTGGATAGCGTGAAGGGCTAAATTTAACTGTAGAGAAAAAAAAAAAAGATATTTTGTCCACCAGGTGGTGCTGAAGTGCAGAGCTAAGGCAATTTGCAACACGTAAATAAGACCATCTTATGACTTTCTGAAGAAACAGGACAGGTTGAATACCATATTACCCATCAATCACAACACACACAAAACTTCATATTGGGGTAAAAAACATTAACCTTTGAAAAGAAAAATAAAGGTAATAAAATCCATATTTGAAAATTCTCAGTTAAGGAAGCTATTTTCCTTTAAAGCAATTTTGCTCCAATGAACAAAAACATTACAAGGAACAAACATGTTATGCATTTATGTCACATAGCACCTAGTTTCCAGCATTTTTAACGCTGTTCAAATAAAAAATACAAGGTGTAACCCATGATAATGTGGTTTTCACTTGCTTTTGGAGATAAGAGGTTTATTAAAATTGTTTATCGTATCTTCAGTGTTATAATAAAAAAATTACCTCAATAATATATATATATACACACACACACACACACATACATACATACATATATCTCCCAAATTTTATTTAAAAACTTAAAGCTTTATGAATTTCAAGTTCATAGTATCTTAGTGATGAAAGTGCAGTTATAATGGGGAAGGGACCATATATGTTTAGTCTTTGCATCCTCAGGAGCAGCCCATGGATTCAAATGGGAATCTAATAAGATGATTTCTCATTTTCTCATTTGAACGTTGTGGAGTCCTTTCCATTTTTGTTATCAAATTAACTTTTGAAAATCAGGATAGAGTTGACAACACTGGGATTTTATGAATTCTTATTCCTACCACATATGCTCAAGGCTGTCATAAATTATCTTTGGTGCACAGAAAACACGGACTTGTACTTGGATGGCACTCTCTTTTCCAAGAAGAAACAACACAAAACAAACATTTTAATAAGAGTTCATGGATGAAACCACAGAAAACATTCCCCCCTTCCCTTTCAAAAGAAATTAAGGATTATTTGTGCTCTGTGATTTGCAAACGATACTATGAAATGTCATTTCATTACTTGTAATGGACACAATAATTTAAAGATCATTTTAAATTATGTGAAAATTCATGCATTGGGTCTTTTAATGACAACTTGACATCCCAAATTAGCTAGGACAGAACTCTTTAGAGCATAACAAACACAAGGAAAATATGACATGTGACAAGAATGAGGCCAGAGGGTAAAAGGCCAACAGTTACAGACAGAGCACTGGTCCACCGACTCAGGGAAAAACGCATGATGATCAGTTGGACATAATTAGTGTCCACAGTTATGATGATTTAAAAAATAAGTTTCAAGTAATCATCAACCTTCCTCTTCTGGTAAGGGTAACTAACTTACAGGCTCACTTGGCAGAAAGAGTAAATGCTTGAATGTGGGAGAAAGCTAATTTCTCTAGCTCCCTTTGAAGGGGCTACAAAGACAACTCTGATTTGGTGATGAATTGGTATCCTGATTTCTGAATATGTCTCCGTCTTTGACATGAAGTGCCAGTGAGACTCAAAGTACCTGTCAACACAAATGATTCTGTTTATACTTTTTACGGAAGAGATTTTATCTTTGAATTGCCAAGTCTGAATTAAATTTCGCTTACTAGAATTCCCCTCAGTTTTCTCCCCGTAATATTAGTTGATTAAATTATTCATGGTTTTGTAGCCTAGAGATTATTGGACATTACTGCAAATATAGAATGACTATGATGTTTCTCCTCAAAGAGGTTAAATATAGAATGTAGAAAAAATATGTGTGTGCACAACTGTGTTCATTTCTATCTGTGTGTACATGCACATGTTATAACATACTTTAAATGGGCTAGAACATATCTGTATTCAATGTGTTCTATAAATTTAAGGTATTGTGATATTGTAAAATTAAGGTATTAGTACTATTGTTTCTATCAAAATGTCCTGACTTAAAATAAAATATAAAAACATGTTGTATTTGAGAAGCTGTGTGAATTTAAGTATTTTTAATGAAGAATTATTAAAGACAAAGAAAAATAGAACTGGAAAGATTACATAAGAGAATTTAGTAAAAATATATGAAAAAATTATAGCTTAAGAAAAATCTCCTAACCAAATAATTCTAACATATAGAATGTCAGGCAAGGGATCATAAAGTAGAGGTAGTTGTAGTTATGCATTTTGTATAGCAAATAACTTAAAGAGGCACTAAAACAGAAGTTAGGTGAACACTTTTTATTTCTAATTGAAATAATAAAAGATGTAATAATGTTGGCCACATTGGCAAAAAATACTTTTTCTGTATAAATGAATTCTTAAGGACTATCAAGTTCCAAGTAATCATTCTCTTTACATTGCTAACATGGACATTTGAGTTGAGATAACTTAAAATTTGAAACCTGCTACCACATTTTAGTAGAAGAACAGCAAATAATATAGAAAATAGGATAAGAATGAAACAGAGTCTATTTTTACATGCTGTAATTGAACATGGCTAATTATTTTTATTGTATTGTTTTTTAATAGCATCATCATTCTTTTTATTTTTAATATGTTTTCATTGATTTTTTTAGAGAGATAGAGGAAAGGAAAGATAGAAGCATTGATGTGAGAGAGAAACATTGATTGGCTGCCTCCTACATGCCTCCTACTGGGAATTGAGCCAGCAACCTGGGCACGTGCCCTGACCAGGAATCGAACCGGGAATCGAACCAGGACCTCTCAGTCCATGGGACCACACTCAGTCCACTGAGCCACACAGACTGGCACATCATCATTCTTTTTTTTTTTTTTAATCCTCACCCGAGGATATTTTTCCATCCCTTGTACAGATAGAGTAGGAGGGAGAGAGAGGAAGGGAGAGAGAGAGAGAAACATCGACGTGAAGGGACACATCGAGTGGCTGCCACCCGCACGACCAACCAGGGGCGGGGACAAACTGCAACCGAAGTACGTGCCCCTAGCGGGAACCGAACCCGGGTCTCTCCAGACCGCAGGCCGACACTCTAACCGCTGAGCCAAACTGGCCAGGGCACATCATCATTCTTAAAAGCATTTCTTTCTCTTTTTTTAAGTTCTGTAGCCTGTTAGGTGCTATAGAAGGGTTATTCACAGTTACAGCTGGCTCAGAGTTTATAAGAAATAACTCCCAGTACTACAGAAATTTTAGAGAAATTTATTTGTGCAAATTAATTGTTGGGGAGAAAGTAGGTAGAAACAAGAGAGTTATTCTTAGAAGTTACTTTCATGCCATAGCCAGTTTAACTCAGAGGTTAGAGCATCGGCCTGAGAACCAAAGAGTCACGGGTTTGATTCCAGTCAAGGGCAGGTACCTGGGTTGCAGGTTCAATCCCCAGCCCTGGTTGGGGTCGTGTAGAAGGCAACCAATCGATGTGTCTCTCTCACATCAATGTTTCTCTCTCTCTGTCTCCCTCCCACTCTATTTGGAAATCAGTGGAAAAATATCCTTGAGTGAGGATTAAAAAAAGAAGTTATTTTCACATTTCTTTGAAGAATTTGACAGGTAAATATGTTAGTGTCCCCATACACTTTATTA